CAAGTTACTGTGGCAGCGCTTCCGCATGGCTCATGCAGGAATGAATGCAAGGCTGGGCGCTGACTCTTGATTTATACTTCGAAAACTCGTTGGTCTGCCCTTTGCCATCGGCCCATGGTGCTCACAGTCCCCCGTGGTACTTGCTGGACCGGACTGGGACTGACTGGCCCTTACCGCTGATTGACTGTGGACTCACTGCTATCCTACGGAGGTCGGACTGCGATGGCACTGCAGTTTAGTCGACCACTTGACTCGCCACTTGACCACTTGCCCACTTGCCGACCTTCTAGAAGGACTACAGCTAGACTTCTGGAACTCGCTAAGACTTCTACTCTATAGATCTACAGATCGAACCCCTGCTACCTAAAGACCTATGACAGACCTACCAACTGTCTACGAATACACAGGTCACAGGTTCAACTCTCGGGGATTACACAGATACTGTACATGGGTAGGGTGAGGTCTAGGGATCGAGCCCTGGGATCTGTGTCTGGTACTGCAAAGAGGTGAAAACCGTTTCACTCCCGCCGTCCTAAATTCGAGGTCCTCCGAGAACATCTTAGTCCAAGGCGGGACCTTTACCCTTCCTGTCACGCTCATAGGCTCTGACTATGTCGGGAGCTGTTTCTAGAAGTTTTGTTCTTGTCAACCAGCGGTCATCCTCCGGTTCCTGATAAGCAAACCGGACCTTATATTCCTGTGGACGACCTCTACCTCCTGTTCTAAAGACATCTTCATCTACAATACCGTCAATGTCATAACTTCCATCCATATCCGGGGGGATTATGGATCTTCTTGAAGGGAACTGTTGACTTGTGACACACAACAACAGCTTTGAAGCATGGAACACAGGGTATGTGTGGAGGTGCGCCAGGATTTCTATAGTGTAGGACGGTCCATCCTCTCCGCCCTTGACTTCTAGAACCGGCCACGGTCCGCAGTATGCAGGCAACAACTTTTGCGAGATGTGCTCCTCAGGTGCAAACTCTTTAGATTTGACCCAGACTAAGTCGCCTACCTGAAACTGCGATGGGCGACGGTGCTTATTGGCCTGTTCTATCATTCTGTGCTGGGCCTTTCTGAGGTTCTCAACAACAGTTGCTAGTTCTTTCTCGTGCTGTACTGCGAACTCCCTGGTACCGGGCGGTAGTCTATGAATCTGGTCCCGGTTCAGTCCTTCGAACGGTCTGCGTGGTCTAAAGGACTTGTGCAGCTCATTGGGAGTGCGGCAGGTGGATAGATGCACGCTGTTGTTGTATGCACTAGCTACCTTAGGCAACATCTCATCCCAGTTGATCTGATCAGGTCTAATGCACATGCGCATAACTTGCTGTAGGATCTTGTTCATCTGTTCTGTCTGACCGTTGGTCTCTGGATGACGGTCAGATGACATTAACAACTTTGACCCATAAACTCTCATGAGTTCTTGCCAGTTCTAGCTAGTGAAACGACTATCTCTATCGCTAACTATGGATAATGGGACTCCGTTCTCACTAACCCAATGATCAAAAAACTTCTGAATAACTAATTATGTGCGCGCCTCTGCAGGCAAAGGAACAAAAACGACATACTTACTAAATCGGTCAACTATGACCATGACTTGGCTCTTGCCATGCCTACTCTTGACTTGAGTATCCATGAAGTCTATGGACACTGAGTCTCCAGGCTGATCAGGAATAGGCAGAGGTCTGAGAAGACCTAGAGGTGCGCGCGTAGTAGTCTTATTCCTCTGGCACACTTTACAACTGCGAACATACTCTATGCAGTCATTCTTCATCCCTGGCTAGGTGTACGCACGCATCAGACAGGCTAATGTCTTTTGCCAACCGAAGTGTCCCTCTGTGTCATGGCATTCCCCTAGGATCAGACTGCGGATTTCCTCACTGTTGGGAACGCAAAGGCGGTCAAATACATCTGTCTTCTCAAACAGCAATCCTTCGGTAGTGCGGTAGTGTGGCTCGGTCTCTTGGGCCTCTCTAACTCTCTTTAGAAGGTCGCTATAGATAAGGGTCTTGCGCGTACGCTTGTTTCACTTTCTCCTGCAGGTCTCTCCCTATATCCAGATAATGTACTATGGCTCCAAAGTAGTCTGATCTCCTACTCAGAGCGTCCGCAACTACGTTGTACTTGCCCTTCACTGGCGTGAGCTCAAAGTCGTACTGGTCTATCTCAGCAACCCACCTAGTTAGCTTAGGTGTCATCTTGGCCTGGGTCTTTAACCATCTAAGTGCCTCCCAAGCAGATAATGCTTCCAGTGCTCTAAAGCCTGCCTGAGAGCGTAGAGTTCTCTCTCGTACGTCGAGGTGGCTACCTTCTCTGAGGGCATCCTCGCTGACATGAACTCTACGGGTCTATAGCCATTGCCGTCGTCTTGCTGCAACATGGCGCCTATACCATACTGACTCACGTCCGTGGTGACGACAAATGGCAAAGACGGATCAACTACTTTGAGGATAGGGTACTCTATCAACGCGCGCTTCAGTCTCTTTAGCGCGGACGTACAATCTTTGTCTCATTGCCAGATTGCCTCTTTCTTAAGCAACCTGCGCAAGGGAGCGGCGATAGTAGAGAAGTTCCTCACAAACTTTTTATAGTAATTAGCTAGGCCTAAGAATGACCGCAACTCTGTCAATGTGCGGGGCGTCGGCCAGTCTTTGATTGCCGCTATCTTGCTGTCCTCTGGCTTAATTTCAGCTCCGTCTAACAAATGGCCCAAGTACAAAACCTGAGTCTTGGCCCACTCTCACTTCTTCGGGTTGATCTTGAAGTTAGCCTCTCTCAGCTTCTCCAAGACCTGCCTCAAATGACCCTGATGCTCTTGGAGGGTCCTTCTGAAAACTAATATATCATCTAAATAGACCACTACAAACTTGTCTAACCATGGTCTGAACAAATCATTCATACAACGGTGAAAGGTGGTTGGCGCGTTGGTTAGTCCAAAGGGCATCACTATGAACTCATAGTGCCCATATCTAGTCCGGAATGCAGTCTTGTACTGGTCATCTATCTGATGGTATCCGGACTTCAAGTCTATCTTAGAGAAATACTTGCAACCTTGCACCCGATCTAAGAGATCGTCTATCCTGAGCAGTGGCTCAACATTCTTTACAGTAATCGCATTCAAACCCCTGTAGTCTATACACATATGAAGCTCTCCTTCCTTCTTGGGGACAAACAGAACTGGTGCTCCAAAGGGAGACGAACTGGGCCTGATCCAACCCTTCTCGAGGAGCTCGTCTAACTGCTTACGCAGCTCCTCTAACTCTCTAGGGGACATCATGTAGACTGCTCCCTTAGGAGTTCTACTGCCAGGCTCTATCTCTATTCTGTGTTGGATGGGTCGCGGCACTACTCCTGTCGGCGACTCAGTCAAGTCTTTGAATTCCTCCAGCAGCTTGGCTATGGTTGGATCTGTGGAACTGTCCTCTTTTTTGGCCTCAGTGACAAGTCTAACATAAACTACAAAGACCTGCTCCTCTAACCGCTCCTTCTTCACTAGTCGTGCGAACGCGGGAGCACTGAGACAGCAATGTGTCAAGGTGTTGTCTACACCTGACACATGAAACAGGCGGGCAGTCTTAACCTCGTCTGACGGACTAGGGAGCCTACACTCATGTTCTTTCAAGTGGAGTGTGGCCCCTGCTGCCTCTCCCCAATCCATTCCCAATACTACGTCAAAGGGGAGGTCATCCTGTACGAGGAGAGTCAGGGAATGGAGAACTTTCTCCACCTTCCCATCTTTCTCTAGGCGAAAGTACGCCTAGACTCCCCATACATAGTCCTCAACACGCATCGTGCGGTTGTCTGCGAGGACACTGACTATGGGGTCTGCTAACTTTTGGATTTCAATCCTAGCCTCAGCTTCTTCAGCGCTCTACGGCTAATATAACTACGGGTAGCCCCTGAGTCTATAAGGGCTCCTACTCTGCTTCTGAATACTTTTACATCTACCAAAATCAGTTGTCCCTTACTCTCCTTCTTCATCTTGGCCCAGGCTGGCATCCTCTCCTTCAGTTCCTCTGCCACGCCTGTGAGGGACATGCCTAAAGAGACGCTAACACAAGCGGTCTCTGGACAACTAGCTAGGCACGGGCCTGCAACCTCTGCCATAGGCTCATGTGGGTTGGGAGTGTCCTGTTCGCGCACGCTCACTTCTCCACATGGCCTTGAAGTAGGGGCAGTTGTGACCCCTACTGGCGGCTGCATTTTGACTGCGGGGCAGCCCAACGGGCCTGTCTATACTGTGGACAAAATTTAATTACGTGGGCCGGGTCACCACAAAATACGCACTAACCCAGGTTCACGCGTTCCTGCCATACGCGCTGGTCCAAGCCCAAATCTTCCCAGAGTCTGCCATGTGGCAAGCCTGGGTGCCATCCTCCTTGAGGTGCCCTTCCACCTCGTCGCTGTGGGGACCGATTAGAACCCTGGCGATTTGGCAGGGGACCTTGACCCCTACCTCCCACTTGGCAGTTTTCCTGTTCGCCAACCCCCTGTGCGCCCGGTCCTCAGCCTCCCATGGTCTGGCCCTTTTGGCCCTGGCCTCCTCCTCTACTTTGCGGCTTCCCCGCAGCCGCGACAACAGCATAGGACCTCCCCTGCCCCACGATACTGGCCTCCTCCTCGAGGCCCCTCTCGATCTGACTATACGGGACCTCATCTGTACCACCTTCCTCTAAGGTAAGGATTATATGATCCTTGGCCCTCACTTGGCCTGAGATGGTACGGCCTTTCCACCTTTTCCCCTTATCTAAGTCCTTGTGCCAGAAGGTGGTAACTGGCATGGACTTTGACTCATATAGGATGACTTCTCTACTCAATGCATCATAAGTGATGCCGGCCTGTTGAGATTTGTCAAAGAAGTGCCCACGTAGGGCCTCTGGCATGGCACGATAAAACAACTGGACCAATTGGGTCTCAGTGACCCCATGGTCTGGGACGGCTACCAAGTCGTCCATGGTACCCTTGAGTGCCCTTGCACTCCTCCACTGTTGTGAGTGGATCGCTTGCAGCTTATCAGAGGCTCTAACGCCTCTCGCTGGATCTGCAAATCACTCCTTCAGGAGCTTAAAGAATTGAGGAAGGGGGGTGACTCTTGAATATGCAACCAGGTTGTTTTCACAACCGGCTGCGCGCGCAAGGGACTTGGCAAAACTAGCCGCCTCATCCTTAAGGGCCTGGAAGGCCACGAGGACTTGTCCCTCTGATAGGATATGTTGTAAATATATATAACTATTGACACTGGTATCCCAGTTGTCAAAGTTCTCCTCCTTCTTCCCCCCGTATGCATCTGGGAACTTGAGTTTTACAGACTCCTTACGGGGTCTGACCTCGCCCTCTACAGCGGCTATTGCCTTGGCACCCTCAATGGCGCCCTCACAGAACTTCCCCACGTTATCCCTCAGTTGCCTGACTTCGCCCCCAATGTGGGTGACGATATCGCGCGCAAAGTCTCTAAACCCCGACCGCATGACACTCAAAGCTACCTCCTGGCTCCAACTAGCTTGGCGCTCCTCCATCCATGTTGTGCTCAACACCACTGGGTAGCCCAATACCTTATCCCATTTGGCCTTGTCATCTGGCTGGGCCAACACTTCCTTCCTACAGTCTTGCACCTTTGCTACCTCTGCGGTCAGTTTGTTGACTTCCTCTCTCCTCCTCTTCTTCTCCCTCTTCATCCTCAACTTCCATGCCAATTTCTGCTCCTCCTCCCTTTCTCGCCGTTCCATAGGATCTGTCATTGCTGCTAGCTCGCTGGCTAGCGCATCCCTCTCGTCTTGAGTCATATAAGACTCTGCCTCCTCGTCTTCTCCCAACGATAAATTAGCGACCCACTCGCTTATCCTTTTCTCCATCTCTACATCAGTATCCCTGTTCATCGTGCCACTACTTCCTTCTCCACTCTCAATCCGCATTCTCTCTTTTTCTTCTTCTGCTGCTACTTCTGCTTCAGCAGCCTTTTTTTTTTCTTCCTCCTCCTGTTGAACCCTCTTTATCTCCTCCTCCAATCTCTTCATCTTTGCCGCCTGTTCCTCTGCGATAGCCTTTAGCTTCGCCTGCTTCTCAAGCTCCTTCCTCTCCCTATTTTCTTTCACTAAGGCGGCCATCTTCGCTTGCTGCTCAGGGGTGTAGGGGTGAGTATCTTTCCCACTACGGGTCTCAACCATGGTGATTAGTGCACAACCGGATCAACGGTTCCAAACGTCACCACGTAGACTCTAACCCCTGACTGACAAACCTATTGACTCAATCTAAGGACTTACAGAATCTGAACAGGGATCCTGCCAACTATGGTCTCTAGCCTGGACCTAACTATGACTGTCACTACTAGACCTTTTGCTGATCAGGAGGCATTTAAGGAGATCCCCCGAACTCCTCAGGAATTATTTAACGTCGCAAACAGGACGACGCGATCAGCAGGTCTCTCAAGATTTAGACGGTCTGTTGTACAACCCACAACTCGGATTTCGAGGCCTACCGTGCCACACCGAACAGCCCGTCGGTAAGTACCGGTCCTTGGGAGGGTTCGTGTCCTCCGGGACAGTTGAGTCGTCAGACACAGTCTTTAGCCCTACTCAGCCCATGTGGGTTTGGTCAACAGGGCCCTATCCTTCATCCACAGAGTGCTATCACCTAGGACAGAAGAGACTCGATGCAGAAAGAAGAGACAAACAGACTGGACTCAACAAGTACCAAGGGGTGTGTGCACATCCATAGGGCGAGGGATAGGCTGAGGGCTTGGCGAGATGTTACCGGCTCCAGCTTGGTCAACTCGTGGTCAACGGTCTTGGTCAACACTGGTCAACGCTTCGGTCAACCCCCCGGTCAACCCCCGGTCAACTTCGGTCAGCATCTCCGGTCAATATTCTCGGTCAACCCTCCGGTGAGCTATGGCTGCCGGCTCCTCTTCCTCACCAACCCTCCTCTTCCTTTTGCCTTCCTCGCCTCCATTCACCCCGGCTGTCTTCTTCCTTTTTTTTTTTTTTTTGTTTGATCGGCCCTCTCTTCTTCTCTCGGCTATGGCCTCCTTCTCTCACTTGCTCGGTATACTCCGTGATAATGCTCCGTGGCTATGGCCGCTTCTTCTTCCTCCACGTGGGACTGCACAACTCGCTTCACAGGTAAGTGACAACCAAACTTGTATCGCTCATCTCTCTCTCTCTCTCTCTCTCTCTCTCTCTCTCTCTCTCTCTCTCTCTCTC